GGAGATGGATATACCGAGGAGGCCATAACGCTCCCCGATAGGTTCAAAATGCCACAAATCGACCGCTTTGACGGGTCCGGCATTTTCAAAAAGCGAACATGAAATGTTTTGACGGTACCCATATTGACATTGAAGGCGAAACTTATTTAAATTTGAGGAATTGCGGAGAAGCAGAAGTCTGTCTACAAAATCAATGAAGCCAGAACTTTGCTCGTTACTGTATAAGTCAATAATGTGGACTGAAGTCCAAATGGATTTCCATCTGGTAGATAATAAGCTGGTTCGGGCAGCATATTTCGTGGGCATAAAACACAATATATGAGAAAGAATTGCGTCTGGCAAATTGCTGATCCGATCTTTTTCTTTAGAGTCACTGAGTGTTGAGGATTGATCCATCATTAAAGTCACTGGTAAGTGAATCGAAAAAACAAGAGTGAAAATTTCGCTAGGGTTTCATCCATTTAGCTAAAAATTATTGCAGAAAAATGAATAGTAAAAAAAACAAAATAAAATTACAAATACAACGATGGGATATATGAGCTACACAAATTTCGCTTCCAAAAAATTAAAAAAAGAGGTGTAAGCCTTGCAGCAGCACTCTGTTTGTTCAAATATAATATGTAGATGTATAGTTATAAAAAGTTTATTGAATCAAAAAAGCAAAAACCTGGTGAGTAGAGGTAAGTTCTCCAGCAAAAAGGAACGCGAACGCCAGAGTCTTGCAATCAATAGTTGGACCGTCTTCAATAGCATAGTGAAATAGTTACATGAAACCCTAGGATAAAGATTGGAATTTTTCTTTTTTTTGTTTTTGTTTTTTGTAAGAGTAATTTTAATATTTTAAAAAAGTTTCATTTACGTTTTTTTTTATTTATAGCCAAATCTTTTTATTTTTGATGAAAAATAAAACACAGTTCTAAAAAGAGCCTTTTTTTATTTTTTATTTTTGGGTACTATTTTTTATTATTTCTCAGCTACTCATTCAAATAACAATAATGATTCATCCCACTAAAAACATCACCACTAATAGCACTAATGCATTAAAAAAGTAAAAAAAAAAAAAAAAAAAAAAAAAAAAATACAACTCCAAGACCAAAACATCACATCATTACTGGTGGGACCCACTGCCACCTAATTAGTGGGAGCACTCCCGAACATTATTCTTCAAATAATAACCATTCAAAATCATTTCTTTTTCTTTCTTTTTTTTTTTTTCTCACCAAATCGTCTATTCAAACAGAGGATCGGTTTGAAAATAGAATATTTTAATAGTAATTTTTTGATTATTTAATTAAATATGAGGTGAAAAAATAATTTATATTTGGAACGATTTATAAATTATTTTTTTAAAAGAAATTTCAAAAAATAAAGAGAGAATGAAATCTTTGAATTTTTTGTATAATTTTTTAATTTTTTTAAATCTTTTTTTTAATAATTTTTAACTATTATAGGGAGTTTTCAAACTTATTCAGAGTGCTAGAAAAAGATGATGTAAAAAAATTAAGGGTAAACTACACTGACACTCTGGGATTTGGTTTGATTGCAACCCATCACTTTGTATTACAGAAATTATGGGTGCTTTTGGTTTGTATTTTGACGATAAATTTTTTAAAAAAAAAAATTGGGGAGAGAGTTTTTTTTGGTTTGTTTGGTTTTATATTTTGAAAATAGTTTTGGAGTTTAAGAATTTGAGATGATTTGATTTTTTGTTATAGTTAAGTAGATATGTGTGAGAAAAAAAATGATTGATGATAACAGAGGAGAGAAAAAAAGTGATTGATTGATGTGAAATAGAGAGAGAAGTAATTTTGAATTTTTTTTGAAAAAGTTAGTAACCAAATATGTTTTTAGAAATTTTCTTCCAAAAACATGTTTCAAAACACAAATCAAACACACCCTATATTTCCACTCTTGTGTTTAATAATCTCATTTCACAAAACCCTCTATTTATATAAAAAGTAACAACTCTTGATAGAAAACCAGAACAAATTACATTGAAAAATAAAAATAATAAAGTAAAGAAGGAAAAAAAAAAAAAGAAGCAAGAAAAAAAAAATATGAATTTAATATCTTTTTTATACAAACATTAATTTCGTCTAAATAATTACAATAACAGAGAGTCAGTGTAATTTTTCAAACATCAAGAGGTAATAAATATTAAATCCAAATCTCAAAAGGTGTAAACGTAATTTATTCAAAAATTAAACTAAAATCCCAAATAAATAAAGTAAGGACAATCCAAAGGAAAACCCTATACTATTCTTGTATCTTTAAATGAATTTCAACAATCAAATAACTTTAACAACCATTGTATGTTGAATTGTGAATAAGAAAAACAAGTTGAGAGAGAGAGAGAGAGAGAGTTTTTACATTTGAGTCTATCTATTGGGGAGTAGGAACTCAGAATATTTCCCCGAGGCCAGTGCCGTTGACAACGATCACATGAAAAATGACAGATTCCAGTAATGAGTGAGAGATAGTTCCAGAGTGAGAGATAAGCGCAAGATAGTTATATTGATTGGGTCAATATAAACCTTGCAGCACTCTGTTTGTTCAAATATAATATGTAGATATATAGTTATAAAAAGTTTATTGAATCAAAAAAGCAAAAACCTGGTGAGTAGAGGGAAGTTCTCCGGCATAAAGGAACGCCAGAGTCTTGCAATCAATAGTTGGACTGTCTGCAATAGCGTAGCGAAATAGTTATATGTTAAACCTAGGATAAAGATTGGAATATTTTATTTTATTTTTTTTAAAGAATAATTTTGATGTTTTAAAAAAGTTTCGTTACGTATTTTTTTTTTATTACAAAATCTTATTATTTTTTATGAAAAATAAAACACAGTTCTAATAAGAGTTCTTGTTTTACTATTTTTTTTTTATCATTTCTCACCTACTTAATCATTTAAATAATAATCATTCAAAATCATTGTTTTCCCCTCACCAAATCCCTCCATTTAAACGGAGGGTTAGTTTGGAAATAGACTATTTTAATACTAACTTTTTGATTTTTTGATTAAAATATTTGGTGAAAAAAAAATTTATGTTTGGAATGATTTATAAATTTTTACAAAAAAATAAAAATTCAAAAAATAAAGAGAAAATAAAATTTTTAAATTTTTTTTGTCTTTTTTTAATAACTTTTTAATTATTATAGGGAGTTTCCAAACTTACTTAGAGTGTTAGAAAAAGATGAAGTAAAAAAAATTAAGGGTAAATTACACTGACACCCTTAGAGTTTGGTTTGATTACATCTCACCACTTGATGGTGTAGAAATTATATTTCAACTCTTGTGATTAATAATTTCATTTCACAAAACCCTCCTGTTTATATAATAGGTAACAACTCTTGATAAAAAAATTACATTGAAAAAAAAAAGGTAAAGCAAAGGAGGAAAAAAAAAAAGGTATATGAATTCAATATCTTTTTTTATACAAACATTAATTTTGTCTCAATAATTACAAGAACAAGAGGATCAATGTAATTTTCCAAACATCAGAAAGTGATAAATATTAAATCCAAATCTCATAAGGTGTAAGCGTAGTTTATTCAAAAATTAAACTAAAATCCCAAATAAATAAAGTAGTATATGTACCAATTAGTGTACTAAGTAGTGTACCAAAACTAGTTATAAAATTATTATTGACATCACTCATTAATTACATTACAAATACCAAAAATATCTTAAATTGTGCCATATCATCAATTGGTACACTAATTAATACATTAATTAGTGCATGTAACAATACCGAATAAAGTAAGCACAATCCAAAAGAAAACCCTCCACTATCCTTGTATATTTAAATGAATTTCAACAATCAAAACTCTAACTTTAACAACCATTGTATGTTGAATTGTGAATAAGAAAAACAAGTTGAGAGAGAGAGAGAGTTTTTACATTTGAGTCTATCAACTGGGGAGTAGGAACTCAAAATATTTCCCCGAGGCCGATGCCATTGACAACGATCACACGAAAAATGGCAGATTCCAATAATGAGCGAGGGATAGTTCTAGAGTGAGAGATAAGCGCAAGATGGTTATATTGATTGGGTCTTTGGAGACTTTGTTTTTGTTTTTATTTTTAGTTTTGCTATTTTTTATTTAGGATAATCAATATATTGATTTTGTTTATGTTATTTTAGAAATTTCCCTTCACATAATTCTCTAATGGCTGATGGAGAACAATTTTTAGTGTATAAAGTCCTTCTCAATAGTCAATTTTTATCTTTCCTGTTATCATATCTATGATGGTTGTGCTTCAACACTTTCACTTGTAAGATGTCTCGACGAATTTTTTGCCCAACTAACTCATAAGCACGAATCAATCATTGCGCACATTTCACACATAAATTTCATTCTCTTTAAATAATTTAAAAAATCGACAAGTGGATTGGTTTTATCTCTATATCATGTTTCATGAGTGCTCTAGAGTCACCCTTAAACTCATAGGAAGCGGTTCCACCTTATAGCGTCTCTGGTTTAGACCCGACACATGGTATATTTTGGACTGGGTTTCATTGTCTTGTATAGTTATCCATGTCTTGTTTTCCCTTTTACCTCTTTGAGTTTGGCTTTTGGATTGTGTTGGTTTTGTGGGGAACAAGTTGGTAGCTTGTTTTTCAAATTGTTGTTGCCCAGAATTTTGCCTCCTACGCTCGAACGTAACTTCTTGCACTCGAGCGGTCTTTGTGAACTCTCAATACTTTTGTAGGTCTACAAAACTATTGGGAATTGGTATTCTTCACTCGAGCGATCTTGGCTCGAGCGGCCCTTATTGCGCTCGAGCGTTTGCCTTATGTTTGTAAAACTATTGGGAGCTCGTATTTCACGATCGAACGACGACTTCTTGTGCTCAAGCGGTCATATCTTTTGTGTCTTATGCTCGAGTGTCAATCCTTGTGCTCGAGCAGTCTGCGCATATATCAATCCGTAAAAGTCACTTTTTACATCACTTTTTCATTTCACTCTCTTTCTAAACTTTTTAAAAACCCTTGATCTATACACACACACACTCTCTCTCTCTCTCTCTCTAAAACACACATTCTCTCTTCTAAAACACCTAGATTCATTGATTTCTCTACCCTACTCCCTTGCAGAAATATGTAGAGCTCACTTAGAGCTTCATTTTCATCCGAACAAAGTTGGGTTTCGGTGTCGTTGAAGTTTCTTCACTCTCTCCTTGGTCTTTTAGCTTCGAGATAGGGATCTTTCACATTCTTATATGAGTTTTACCTTAGCTATTTGCTATTTCAAACGATTATGGTGGTTTTGGGGGGTTTTTGTCAAAAACCTAGGGTTTGGAATTAAAATGTAAAAGAGGGGTTTTCAAATGGTTTCTTGAAAATAGTTGTGGTTATGAAATTGGAATTGATATATGTTGAAATCAGCTATTTCCTACATTGAAATTGATTTTCAAAGAGAAATAGATTTTGCCCCAAAATGTGAATGTTTGAGATTGTAAAGAAAAAATGGAATTGATGTTGAGAATTATGAAATTGAAGTATTGTTGATGATGATGGCGGAGTTGGATATGTATTATCACTCCCATTTGAGATTTTGAAAAAGTGTATCTTTAATGAAATTTATTATTCTATTTAGAAATATCTGTTTTGGGCTACTGGTGGAGGATAGCTATGAGTGTTGTAGAAATTGCATGAGAATTAGGTGAATTAAAACTAATTTCTCATCCATATGTATTGAACATTGTTGCTTATTTAATATTTTAAAAATGTGTATGATTTTGAGAAAAAATGGGTGAACGTGGGAAAGATATATATATCACCAAATTAAGTTGGCCCGTGTGTCTAAGATGAAAATCCCAAAAAATGCGCGTATACATGGGTGCTGATTCCCACAGATGCTATATCCATAAAATGGAAATAGTAGCGCTTGTATAGGCTACATTTATATGGGTCCTGTTTGACGATTTCTTGCTGATGAAATTTCCGTAAAAGGTTGTGCTGGTTTGAGATTTCCTCATGTCTTTCTATTGTAAAGGACATGATTTTAAGAATTGTGATATAAACCTGGCATAGCATGGTTTTCGAAAAATGGTATAAATGTTTTGGCACTGGCATTGCATATGCATAAAACCTTATATCTTTGTTAAGATTTATACATTGTATTGTAGTGTTTCTACTAGGCTTTGGCTCATCCTATGTGCGAAAAACCACTTTCAGGTGCTGGTGATATGCCTCTACCAAGGACTTAGCTTGTGGAGCTGAAGGCTCATTGTTGTTTATTTTGTATTTAATTTTGTACAAACTTAGGGCTTTATCTATATTGAGCTTAAGACTCACTTTTGATATACCCAAGCATTGACTTAGAAAGATGTAAGTCTTTAAGGCATACGATTATTTATTTAGCTTTCATTTCTTTTCACTATCTTGTAGCACATGTTATAGATTCAGGATGTACTGTTTATAAATGTATATCGCATGTGTTACCTTTTGTATATCAAACTTTGATCAATAAAAGCTTATTAATTCATTTGTGTTGCTATTTATTGGATGTTTTGAGATAGGTATCTCGTGTTTATTTTGGAGCGTTACAACTTGGTATCCGAGCGTACCGGGTTTGAATACTTTGGGTACGTATGAAGTGGTTATTACCATAATGGGTTTGTCTCGCTCGATAGAGACATTTGTATGTATGGTATGCTATGTGATAACATGCTTATGTGATTATATAAGTATGAGATTTAATTTCTAGGATATTGATTGGGTCTACAAGTTTCTAGAAGTCCTATTAGAAGAGCACCTGATCACTGTTGTTTCTAATTGGAACTCTAGTAACGCCGCGAGACCGTCATTATCTAGGAAGGAAATTTGTATGTGTTTATGTGACTACTTATGTGGAGTGAATTACTATTTTCCACCATATTAGAACACGAGTGAGTTAGCTTCACATTTGTAAATGTGGTAATCTATTTTATTACCTTCATTAGGATGTCAAGACGTGGTCATAGTGGTGGTAGGCGTGGTAGGCCTAGAAGGCATGAGGTGCCTTTACTGGATGAAATTCCGGTGCAAGAGGAGAGGGTTGGTCAGGCCAATGTAGCCGAACCAGTTGGCTAGTAGGCCATGAAAGTTTTGGCCGGTGAGATGGTCGGGGCTTTGAGGGAATTCATGGACATTCTCAGAGCTGAGAATCAAGTCCAGGCTTATGTTGCTGAGACATGGCTGTCTTTTCTGAAGCGAGAGTTCTTCCGGTCGAATCCGGATGAGTTTTTGGGTGACCCTAAAGAGCCACTGAAGGCGGATGAGTGGTTAGAGTAGATAGTGAAGATGTTTGAGATGCATGACATTGAGGACAACAGATTGACAGTGACCTTGGCATCCTTCCAACTAAAGGGAGATGCGGGCCAATGGTGTAAGTATGCGCGTGGGAACATTGGAGTGACTTGGGAGGCTTTTGTCAACGCCTTCCAAGACAAGTTTTTACCTCCCACGGTTAGGAAGAAATTGAGAGAGCAATTCTCAAAGCTCAAGCTGCTCAACATGCTTGTAGCCGAGTTTGAGGCAACCTTTACTAGCCTTTCCAAGTTTGCACCAGAGTTGATGGCGACAAAGGAGCGCCGTTATATGAAGTTTGAGAAAATGTTGAGGACTAGGCTTCTTTTCGAGGTAGCCAATTCAATGATTAGAGGTTATAAGCAACTTGTA